CCTAACCCTAACCCTAACCCTAACCCTAACCCTAACCCTAACCCTAACCCTAACACGGCATCCACATTGACAAGGACGGCAACGACATCGCTGAAGGCGCACGACTCGACGAAGGGCTCTACTTGCTGGACGCTGATCATTCCAAATGTCAGCACCTTGCTCTCCTTTCTCGCTCACAGTCGTCCGTGCCCCTGCTGACTCTCCATCGCTGCCTCGGCCATCTCGCACCGTCCTCCATACAGAAGATGGTTGCCGCTGGTTTGCTGGAGGGTCTCAGGGCCGGATATAGTGACGAAGAGGTAGAGAAGTTTGTCTGCAATGCTTGCCTCAGCGCAAAGGGCCATCGTCTTCCCTTTCCCGATTCGGATTCGCACTCCTCAGAGAGACTCGGCCTTGTACACAGCGATGTGCTTTCCTTCCCCGAGCGGTCCTTGACTGGCAAACGTTACCTGGTCACATTCCTTGACGATTACTCGCGCAAACTCTGGGCCTACGCAATCGGACACAAAAGCGAAGTCTTCGGCATATTCAAAACTTGGCTAGCCGAGGTTGAACTCGAGACGGGTGCGACGCTGAAGGTCCTCCGAACCGACAACGGTGGCGAATACTGTTCGAGAGCGTTCACAGAGTTCTGCAAGACACGAGGCACCCGTCGACAATACTCTATCCCACGCACGCCTCAACAGAACGGTCGTGCAGAGCGGGTCAATCGTTCCATTGTCGAAGGCGTCCTTGCCCTCCTTGTCGACGCCCACCTACCCAAGACATTCTGGGAGGAGGCTGCAGCTTATTTCGTTTACTGCAAGAACCTGTGTCAACACGCGGCCCTGGACAAGGCAACACCAAACTCCGTCTGGCAGGGTGACCACACCACTGCCTCGGCGCTTCACCCGTTCGGCTGTACAGCTTGGCTTACGGTCGCGCCCGAACTTCGCTCCAAACTCGACCCGAAGGCGGTTCGCGTTTTTTTCACCGGCTACGACCTGGCTTCAAAAGCCTTTCGCTTCTACGACACTACAACACAGAAGATTATACTTGGCAGAAATGCCACGTTCCTCGACACTGAATTCCCCGGATTACATGGCGACCCCACTGAGCAAGACGGCGACACGCACTTCGCCAGCGCTCCCACCACCGAATCTCAAACCGTTGTCAAGACATGGACCCCACTAGTAAGGTCGGCGCACATGGACGTCTCATCCCCCCTTGATGATTCTGCCATGAGCGCCGTTGACGTGGCCCCAGGGTACACTGGCGGAACCTTACTTAACTTCACAGATGCCGAATCGTCCTCGTCACCGTCGCCTGCGTCGCCCTCATCACCGTCGTCTGCGCCATCGCCTGCACTTTCACCATCGTCGGCTGCGTCATCGTCACCCTCGGCCTTACCGACCGACTCTGAAGACTCCGCCGATCCCCTCGACCTCCTCGGCTCACAGCCCCAGGTTCGCCTCGATCTACAGGACGTGCACCACCCAGACTTCAGCACGTACCGCGAGCCCGCATCGGCTGAGGAGTCGCCCGACGAACTCGACCTCATTGGGCGCCACTCTCGCGACGAATCTCCGGACGAAATCGATTTCCTCACCCGACACCACCGCGCCTTCATCGCCATCGACGACGACACCTCTGACACAGAGGCAATTCAGCCAGTCAAGTCCATCACGAGCGACCCACAGACCTGGCGCGAGGCGATGTCTAGCGACAAGCGTGAAGTATGGGCCAAAGCCGCCACCGACGAGTTCACCTCCATGCGCGACGACTTCAAGGTCTTCACCATCGAGGACCGAGCTATTCGATCAACTCTACTACGTCAGCGATGTAGTTATAGCCAAGAGTGATCAATGCATTTCAACATACCTATTCGATCAACTCTACTACGTCAGCGATGTAGTTATAGCCAAGAGTGATGAATAGGAAGCTAACAATAAGAGACCCGCGCGCCCCAAGTCCACAGCCAGCGAGCCTGGGGCTGAGCCAATGGCCCAGGCTCGCTCCGCGCGCCTAAGTCCCAGGCTCGCTTCGCGCGCCTAAGTCCTGGGCCGGGGCGCCCGGCTCACTCCGCGCGCCTAAGTCCGCGCCCGGTTCGCTCCGCGCGCCTAAGTCCTGAGCCGAGCGGAGAGTGGATTCCTCACACCCCCCCCCACGCGAACGCGAGGTAGACTTGAGCCGTGGATGTCGCGTCCGGAGGCCTAGAGCATAGCAATGTGTACCAAAAATCTTGGGGCCTAGCGCCTTGGTGAATACGTCCGCAACCATGTCTGCTGTGCCAACGTGTGAGAGAGAGATATCACCTCGATTGACCATGTCACGGACAAAATGCTCGCGGAGGCGAATGTGCCGGGTGCCGGAGGTGCGAACGGGGTCGTGAGCGACGGCGGCCGCGGCCTCGTTGTCGGTGAAGATGTGAGCTGCAGCGATTGGGCAAACGTGGAGCTCGGAGAGGAGTTGGTTAAGGTAGATCGCTTCCTTACCCGCGTGCGACAAGGCCAGGTACTCGGCATCAGTGGTGGAATCCGCTACCCGAGTCTGACGCTTCGACGACCAAGAGACAGCGGCGCCTGCCAAGTAAAATACGTAGCCCATCGTTGAAATGGATGTGTCGACGCAGGCGCCCCAGTTCGCATCAGAATAACCAACCACACCCGTGACTTTTGCTGGGCCGCGGGCATAGAGAAGCTCATCGCGGTACGTGGCGCGAAGGTAGCGAAGGACGTGTTTGACGGCAATCCAATGGCGGCGGCCGGGGTTGTTGGCGAACCGGGACAGGTACGAGACGGCGAAGGCAATGTCGGGTCGAGTGCCAAGGGAGATGTAGAGGAGGGAGCCGATGGCCTGTAGGTACCACGAACGAATGCGCTCCGTTCCCTGACCCGGAATTGCCGTGAGCGAGAGGCCGGGCGTCATCGGCACCGTAGTGCCGCGTGTCGTGGTGTCGAAGTGGAAACGGGCCAGCACGTCCATGATGTAGCGCTCCTGGGATAGAGCAATGGAACCGTCGTCCAGGCGGCGTATTTGGATTCCGAGGATGTACTCCGCGGGGCCGAGTCGTTTGACGCCGTACCGCTGTTCAAGGCCGGAGATGACACGTTCGATCTCGTCGAGGGCTGGACTGACAATGAGGAGGTCGTCGACATACAAGGCGATATAGTGAGGCCGCTGCTGATCGTCAATGCGAGAGTAAATGCAGTGATCAGTGCCTGTTGCCTTGTACCCCAGATTCCTGAGTGATGTGTCAATGTGACGATTCCAGATGCGACCGGCCTGCTTGAGACCGTAGATTGAGCGTCGCAGCCGGAGAACCTTATCGCTCGGGAAGTCGAAACCGCGTGGTGTCGTCATCCAGATATCATGATCGAGCTCGCCGTGGAGGTAAGCCTTGTCGATGTCGGCCTGATGAACGTGGTAGCCATTGGCAGCGGCAAGAGCCAGGAGGCAGCGAATGGAGGAGAAACGGGCAACGGGTGCGAAGGTTTCTGAGAAGTCGATGCCGTCGCGCTGTCGGTTACCCTGCGCTACAAGACGTGCCTTCCGCCCCGTGACTTCACCGCTTGCGTTGCGCTTGGTCTTCCAGACGAATTTGGAGGTGACGATGGTGGCGCCCGGCGGTACAGATGAGCGAGGCTCGATGGTGAACACCTTGAAGTCGTCGCGCATGGCGGTGAACTCGGCGGCGGCGGCCTCAGCCCAGATGTTGTGCTCGTCGCTGGACATTGCTTCGCGCCAGGTCTGGGGGTCGCTAGTGATCGATTTGACGGGCTCGATGGCGTCGAGGGTGGGGTCGTCGTCGTCTGTGGCGATGAAGGCGCGGTGGTGTTGGGTGAGGAAATCGATTTCATCCGGCGATTCATCGCGCGAGTGACGCCCAATGATGTCGAGTTCGTCGGGCGACTCCTCAGCCGATGCGGGCTCACGGTACGTGCTGAAGTCTGGGCGGTGCACGTCCGGTGGGCCAAGGCGAGTCGGGGTCTGTGAGCCGATGAGGTCCAGAGGGTCGGCGGAGTAGTCAGAGTCGGTCGGTGAGACCGAGGGTGACGATGACGCTGCCAACGACGGTGACAGCGCAGGCGACGGTGACAAAGGGTTTGTGGGCGACGGTGACGAGGACGGCTCAGGAGACGGTGACGAGGACGATTCGGTATCTGTGGAATTAAGTAAGGTTCCGCCAGTGTACCCTGGGGCCACGTCAACGGCGCTCATGGCAGAATCATCAAGGGAGGATGAGACGTCCATGTGCGCCGACCTTACTAGTGGGGTCCTCGTCTTGACGGCAGGGGCGGGCGTGTCGGCGGGAACGACGAACTGACGGTCGGTGTCGTCTGCATCGACGGGCGTGGTGACTGGCAGGCCGGGGAAGTCGTCGTCGAGGAAGGTGGCATTGCGACCAAGTACAATCTTGTTGATGGAATGGTCAAAGAAACGGAAAGCTTTGGAGGCGAGGTCGTAACCTGTGAAGATCACGCGCGCGGCCTTGGGGTCGAGCTTGCTGCGAAGGTCCGGGGCGACCGTGAGCCAGGCTGTGCAGCCGAACGGGTGGAGGGCGGTGGCGGTGGTGCGTTGGCCGTTCCAAACGGATTCTGGAGTCTGTTTGGCCAAAGCTGAGTGTGAGCACCTGTTTTTGCAATAAACGAAATACGCAGCCGCTTCATCCCAAAAGGTGGCCGGCAGACGGGCGTCCGCAAGGAGAGCGAGGACGCCCTCGACGATGGAGAGGTTGACACGTTCGGCGCGACCGTTTTGTTGAGGCGTGTAAGGGATAGAGTATTGACGACGAATGCCCTTGGATTTGCAGAACTCCGTGAATGCGTTTGATCGGTACTCCCCGCCATTGTCGGTTCGAAGGATCCTCAACCGCGCGTTCGTCTCTAACTCCACTTCGGCGAGCCAAGTCTGGAAGGTCGGGAAAACATCGCTTTTGTGATCGATCGCATATGCCCAGAGTTTGCGAGAGTGGTCGTCTAGAAACGTGACAAGGTAGCGCTTCCCGGTCAAGGACGGAGTGGGGAACGACAGGACGTCGCTGTGCACGAGGCCAAGTCTCTCGGCGGAATGCGACTCAGAGTCGGGAAAGGGAAGGCGGTGACCTTTGGAACCAAGGCAAGCATTGCAAACAAACTCCTCTACGTCTTTGTCACTGTACCCGGCCCCAAACCCGTCCAGCAAACCTGCAGCAATCATCTTCTGTATAGAGGATGGGGCAAGATGGCCGAGGCAGCGGTGTAGGGTAAGCAGGGGCACGGGAGACTCAGAGCGTGAGAGGAAGGCAAGATGCTGACACTTGGTGTGATCCGCGTCCAAAAGGTAAAGACCGTCGTTGACCCTGGTACCGTGAGCAATGGCCCGGCCGTCCTTGGCGATGTCGATGCCGTCGCTGGTGAAGGCGAGACGAACGCGGTCGGTGTCGCAGAGGCGAGAGACAGAGAGGAGGTTGACGTGTAGGCCAGGCGTGTGAAGAACACCACGGAGCGTGATCGGGTGTCCAGTCTTGGCGACGAATGCCACGTCCCCCATGCCGATAGCCGTGATGCCGCCCGCGATGCCGCCGATCTTGGTGTGTGCCGTCTGACGATAAGTCGTGAATAGAGATCGGTCGGCGACCATGTGTGTCGTGGCACCCGAATCGACTACAAAGGCGTCAGTTGGGAGTTGGCGACGAGCGAAGAGACAGGAGGCGAAATAGCCGACGTTCGGTTGCGAGGCCGCGGAGGAAGACGTGTCGTCCTGGGTGTCGTCGCTGCTACGTGCCTGTTCACCCCGGTTCTTGCAGTCGAGTGCCCAGTGACCTTTCTTGTGGCATCGGCGGCAGGGGCCGGTGGGCGGGTGCTTCGCACGTGAAGTGCAGTCGCGCAGGCGGTGACCGGGAGCGCGGCAGGCGGGGCAAGGGGAGCGCGTGGCAAGCATGGCCGAATGCGAGGTCGAGAGTCCTGCCGAACGAAGCTGGATGCGAATGCGGTCCGTAAGCGTCGTGAGTTCGGGAAGGTCGCGTCGGTTTCGCTGCTCGTCCGTGAACGTGAGTCGGAAGCTGTCGAGGCAAGACGGGACCATGGCGAGCACGTGGGTGGCGAGCACGTCGTTGAGCGATGTTTTGGCGTCGCGTATTTCCTGAGCAATCGACATGTACTCGCGTAGCCAAGTGTCGTAGGCCTCGACGGAGGCAGGCATCTTCCTGAAGTCCCAAAGGCGAGCGAACAACTCGAGAGTGCGTGTAGCGTCGTCCGGTGCAAAACGAGCCTTGAGAGCGGCAAAGATGCGCGGTGCCGACAGGTCGTCGCTGGGGATGGCGTCGAGGGTGGCCGATACGTCGGCGGAGTCGATAGAGCCAACGATGATTTCCCGGGCGGCGTCGTCACGTGCGGCAAGCTGGTCGGCGGTCCAGGTCGGGGGAACGACACCGTCGAGAACGTAACCACGAACCTGGTTCGGGAGTGCAAGACGGAGTTGACGCAACCAGTTGGTGAACGACTTGGGGCCGTCCAGACGAGCGTGCTTGGGAAACACGACCTTGGATGCGGTGGCGGCGTTCCCCGGCACGATGGTGACGGCCGGGGGTGCGGCGGCTGCGGCGGCGGCGGGTTGCGAGGCCTGCAGAGCGGCAAGCTGGGCCTGTAGAGTGGCGATTTGTTCGCCGATCGAAGATTCAGGGGAGCTGGGATCCCTGGGGGCCAAAGGCGAGGCGGGAGAGCTGTCCATGATGTGATGGTGCGATGGACGTGTGCGGCTCGAGTGGCTGGGCTCGAGCGAAAAAGCCTCAAGCGGCGGGGCTGGTAGCTCGTGGGCTTATAACCTATTCGATCAACTCTACTACGTCAGCGATGTAGTTATAGCCAAGAGTGATCAATGCATTTCAACATACCTATTCGATCAACTCTACTACGTCAGCGATGTAGTTATAGCCAAGAGTGATGAATAGGAAGCTAACAATAAGAGACCCGCGCGCCCCAAGTCCACAGCCAGCGAGCCTGGGGCTGAGCCAATGGCCCAGGCTCGCTCCGCGCGCCTAAGTCCCAGGCTCGCTTCGCGCGCCTAAGTCCTGGGCCGGGGCGCCCGGCTCACTCCGCGCGCCTAAGTCCGCGCCCGGTTCGCTCCGCGCGCCTAAGTCCTGAGCCGAGCGGAGAGTGGATTCCTCACACGAGCCACGGTGCCCGCGGGTGCGACTATCGTTACATCCAAGTTCGTCTGGAAAACGAAACGGAACGCACTCGGCGAAGTCACTGGACACAAGGCAAGGCTGGTCGCGCAAGGCAATCGGCAACGCGACGGCATCGACTTCAACGAAACGTTCGCACCGGTCGCACGCTTCTCCTCGATACGCTCACTCCTCGCGCTGGCGGCCGCCAACGGCTTGCACGTGCACCAGGCGGACATCGACAAAGCATATCTGCATGGCGACCTTGACCACGACATCTGGATGACGGCACCGCGCGGCTTCGACCTTCCCAGCGACAAGGTGCTTCGCCTGCGACGCTCCATCTACGGGCTCAAACAGGCTGGCCGAATCTGGAATCGACACATCGACGCTTCGCTTCGGGCCCTCGGTTACACGGCGACGGGCACCGACCACTGCGTATACTCTTGGCTCGATGATCGTCAATGTCCACACTACATCGCACTGTACGTCGACGACCTCCTGATGATCAGCCCGGAACTGGCCGAAATCGAACGTGTCATCTCAGGCCTGGACCAACGCTACGGAGTCAAGCGCCTCGGCCCGGCCGAGTATATCCTCGGCATCCAGATCAGGCGGTTCGACGACGGCTCTATCGCCCTATCCCAGGAACGGTACATCATGGACGTGCTCGCTCGGTTCCACTTCGACACCACGACTCGCGGCACTACAGTTCCGATGACTCCCGGCCTTTCGCTCACTGCTATCCCGGGTCAAGGCACCGAACGGATCAGGTCATGGTATCTGCAGGCTATCGGCTCGCTCCTCTACATTTCGCTCGGTACCCGCCCTGACATCGCCTTCGCCGTGTCCTACCTGGCCCGCTTCGCCAACAACCCCGGTCGTCATCATTGGATTGCGGTCAAGCACATCCTACGCTATCTCCGGGCCACGTATCGCAACGAACTCGTGTATGCTCGCGGCCAGGCTCGCATCACGGGTGTGGTAGGCTACTCCGACGCGAACTGGGGGGCCTGCATCGACACATCGGTGTCCACCATGGGCTACGTCTTCTACATCGCTGGCTCGGCCGTGTCCTGGTCGTCCAAACGCCAGTCTCGAGTTGCCGATTCGACCACCGACGCTGAATACCTCGCCCTCTCGCATGCTGGCAAGGAAGGGATTTACCTCAGTCAGCTGCTCGAAGAGCTCCATGTACAACCTGTTGCACCGGCTCACATCTTTACTGACAACGAAGCCGCTGCTGCAGTTGCTCACGATCCTGTCCGCGTCTCTGGCACTCGGCACATACGCTTGCGTGAGCACTTCGTTCGGGACATGGTGAATCGGGGCGACATCTCTCTCTCGCATGTGGGTACCAGCGACATGGTGGCCGACATCTTCACCAAGGCTCTCGGCCCAAAGGTCTTCTCAACGCACTGCTACGCCCTCGGCCTTCGCACTCGACACCCGCGGCTTGGGTCTGCCTCGCATTCGCGTGGGGGGGGGTGTGAAGAGTCCACTCTCAGCTCGACAGGGGCGCCTCGGTCGTTGCGCGCACTTGCTAGCCCGCCCCCGGCGGTGGGGACTTAGACGCGCGCGACTGCCTCAGCGCGCCAGCGCCGGCGGATTCATGCGCGCGCCCGCTAGCCCGCCCCCTTGCGGTGGGGACTTAGGCGCGCCGGCGATTTCACCCGCGGCTGACTTAGGGATGTACATTGTCACGCGCCTGGGACTATCCCAGCGTGGCCCCCCCCTTTCTGTTTCTTAGCTTCCTTCTCATCACTTCTGTTCGACTCTCAACCTCTCCTGACAGTAGTGGTGAACGTCTCATAGGTACGCTGAAATAGATCACTTCTGTTCGACTCTCAACCTCTCCTGACAGTAGTGGTGAACGTCTCATAGTACCCACCAGCATGGCTTGCTTCAACTGCGGACGAGGCGGTCATTTCTCGCAGCACTGCACCGCGGAGCGTCAATCCCCGGTCGCCGTCCAACTCTCAGCGGTCGCTGTGGCCGACTTGGATGACGAAGATTGGTCCTCGGTCGCAGGTGGTGACGAGGATCCCGAGGTGAGAGTCCCCATTTCACTCGAGCGTGTTCAGACTCGACCTTTGAGTTCCGTTTCCGCTTCAATGACACGCCCTTCTTGCCCTCCCGCAGACCCCGTTGGCCGAATGAAAGAAGGGGCTTCTTCTTCAGTCGACGTCGAAGTCTCATCAAGTAATCCGCAGCCAACCGCGCCGGCAAGTGATGCAGATCTACGTCGTCTTGCCGATGACTCGACCGACTCTGCGTTTGACGCGGTGGAAGACGTCCCCTCTTATGCTGATGCCGCGTCGCGAATGCGGCGATACTGGGGGCCGGAGGTGGTGTCGTCGCGCAAAGCGGAGAGGACTGCATCGGTGAGCTCTGTTCGTGTTCCGGTGCCGTTGGGGGTTTCTCTCTTGGAGTCCGACACGCCCCTGATCGACGTCGACGACTTCGCCCGACCCGCCGAGCCCGCGATTGTGCGCGCCCGCAATATTATTGCGTGGACGTTGCCGTCTGGGCGAACGCTGCGTTGCCTCGTCGACTCTGGTTCGGAAGTGGACTTGGTGGATCAGGATGTCGTGCGAACAGACCCGAGTTTCACGACGTCCCGCCTTACCGCGCCGCTGCACTTGCGCCTCGGCACTCGCGACAAATCTGACCGCTGCGCCGTGTTTGCCAACGCCCTCTTCACGTCCGGTTCCCTCGACCTCGGCTTGCGGGCGTTTTTCATTTGCCGTGTGACGGCATATGATGCTATCCTGGGTTTGCCGTTTCTGAAGGACACCGGCATGCTGGTAGGCTGGGGCGTCTTCACCGTCGCACGGCCGGGCCCTTCGCAGCCGGTCGCCAAGGGCACTCACGAGTGGGATCGCGCAGTCACGGTGGCGCCCATCTGCTCCGGCTCTGCCATTGGCTACGATCACCCAGGGTTGCTTCCTGACGACGAGATCATTGGCCTCGAGCCGCACAACCCTCTACTGGATGTCGTCGACGACCCGGCGCTCGAGGATTTGTCTGAGTCCGAAGCACGAACACGATTGGCTGCCTTACTCGAGAAATACTCTGATGTGTTCGTAGATTCGCTCCCAATGGACCGACTCCCGCCTTATCGACCCGTCAATCACGAAATCCCTTTGATCGACCCCAACGAGAAGGTCAAGCCGAGGGTCTATCCCCTTGCCGACAAATATCGTAGCCAGTGGGCGGAGCATTCAGCTAAGTACACTCGCGGTCGCTTCTGGGTTTCTGGTCCGATCGACTCTGCGGCTCCGGTCTTCGCCATTCCGAAAAAGAACTCCCAGACCGCTCGCTTTGTGATCGACCTCCGCGCTCGCAACAGCAACACCGCCAAGCGTTTTTCACCTATCCCCGACATGACCAGTGTTCGCTACGAAGTGGCACGTTCGCGCTACCGGTCCAAATTCGACGTGGCCGCAGCGTTTGAGCAGGTGCGGGTCATACCCGAGCACGTCGATCGCACCGGCTTCGCCACGGTCACGGGCACGTACACGTCGCGGGTATGAAAGAACAATATACCACTGCACCAAAAGGCAAGGCACCTCTACTTCAGTGAGCGCATATTGTCCTAGAAGTGAGATGGAGCGAAGTTCAACAGCGGGTGATGCAGTTTGGGGACACCAATGCGCCCAACACCCTGAACTTGTTGACATCGGCGATGTTTCAGCCGTGCCTCTCGTTTGCCAAGATCTTTTTCGACGATGTTCACGTCCATTCCGATACTCGTCGCGCGCACTTAAGACACATCGAGATTTTGCTGATGACACTGCGACATTATCGGTTCTACTTAGGATCCAACAAATCCGAGTGGTTCTCAAAGTCGTTAGATTCCTTGGGCGCGATCATCTCCGACGACGGCATCGAGGTCGACCCGGCCAAGTGGGAGCGTATCCGACAGTGGCCGACTCCACACAACAAGACCGACGTTCAGCGTTTCCTCGGCACCGTGAATTGGATGCGAGATCACCTGCCCCACCTCTCGATCACCTTGGAGCCCATCACCGCATTATTAGCGCAATCGACGTCGTGGCGTTGGAACGAGCGCGAGCAGCAGGCCTTCGACACCGTCAAGTCCCTCGTGCCAGCAACACTGCGACCGATCGACGGCGCTAAGGTCACCTCCGGCGAGCACAAAATCTACTTGTTCACCGATGCCAGTCGTGTTGGCATTGGCGCTTGCCTGGCCTCGGGCCCCACTCGTTCGCAGGCCATTCCTACGCGATTCTTCTCCGCTAAGTTCAATGGCGCTCAGCTCAATTATCACGTCACTGATAAGGAGTTCTTAGCCGTCGTTTCGGCGTGTCGGGCGTTCGAGCAGCACTTGATCGGTTACCCCTTCGTCATCGTCACCGACCACCAAGCCCTTCGCACGATTAAAACGCAGAAGTTACGCCAAACACCCCGGCACATCCGCATGTGTCTCGAACTCAGCCGTTTCGACTTCGAATTCGAATTCATTGCGGGCAAGAACAACTCCCTTGCCGATTCGTTGTCACGCTTGTGGGAAGTCAAGGAGGGATCGCCCGAGGATCAGGTCAAGGAGAATGAGTTGGAGGATATGTTCTTTGATGGAGAACGCCACGGATTCACTACACACGGTGAGAGCCTCCCTGAGGAACGTCCTTACACCTCACCATTGACAGGCAACGTCGGAGGGGATGACGATGACTACACGCGAGAGACGAGGGAGAGAGCGAGAGAGCGCGCGAAAGCGCGAAGGAGCGAAGGGGGTGTCGACCGAGGCGGCGGCAGTCGACCGAGAGGCAACCGCGGAGGATACGCGGCTGCAAGGCTCGCAGCAAGTCCAGTGTACCGAACTATGGTAGCCAACGAGGTCGGACAGAAGAGGGAGGGCAAACGATCCAAGAAATAGCTGACCAGGCCGGTGGGAAGGTCGAGTCGGCTGGGCAGCGGAAGTCGACCGAGAGGCAACCGCGGAGGATACGCGGCTGCAAGGCTCGCAGCAAGTCCAGTGTACCGGACTATGGTGGCCAACGAGGTCGGACAAAAGAGGAAGGGCAAACGATCCAAGAAATAGCTGACCAGGCCGATGGGAAGGTCGAGTCGGCTGGGCGGCGGCAGTCGACCGAGAGCAACCGAGGAGTGGATTCGGTCGGAAGGCTTCGCAGCAAATCAAGTGTAACGGACTTAATTGCCAGCGAAATGGGTAAAAAGAGGGAGGGTACGAGTCATGATAATGAGTGGACCAAGCTCTAGGGGAAGGGTGGCAAAAGCAAAAGGAGGGAAGTGCTCCGAGCGAAGGAAAGACTGAATCAAATAACTACACCACGAGGTCGCTTCAGGGGTAAAAAGGATTGCCTGCAAGGCACCGGTAAAAACCCCGAAGCCGGGCCTCGGATAACAAAAAGGAAAAGAAACCAAAAGGCAGATCACGCTCCGGGCGGATCGAACCCTCGACCACTGAGTGCGCGCCCGCGCGCCCTCACGACTACACCATCGCGCCGACAATGCTTGCAACGAACAAACCGGTAGCTGATGTCGACTCCGGCCGCAAACTTGGGAGACTTCCTTCGAGTATTGATGGCAGTGCAGGCTGTGCTCCTGACAACCATCTCCCGATCGGTTGCCTCCTGTTGATTTTGCCTTCGGGCCCCAACGCGACGATTGCGAGGCAGGCTCTCCCGGATACTACGCGCTCAAGGACGAATCGCAAGACGAGGACGTGAATGGACGGGATTTAGGGAATTTGTTCTTGAAGGAAGAATGCCACGAGTTCACTACACCTGGTGAGAGCCTCCCTGAGGAACGTCCTTACACCTCACCTTCGCACGATCGGTTGCCCCCTGTTGATTGTGCCTTCGGGCCCTGGGATCACGGCTACGACGCAGGCTCTCCCGGTTCCCATCGTCTGGCCGAGAACATTATGGACGCCGTCGACTCTTCTACCGGTCCCCTTTCTCCTCCCATCGCCGTCAATCGAGTTCATGCTATCGCCGCGGCCCCCGCCAACGACGCGCCCATTCCAGTCGATGCCGACGCCGATGAACTCGACTTACTGGGAGCCGCCGCCGATGAGGTCAACGACGCCCCTGTAGTCCATCGACCGCCCGACCCGCTGCCGCAACCTTTCCTCGACGCCGTCATCCGAGCCTACGCCCACGATTCGCAAGCCCAAGTCATTGTTGACGACCCGCTGTCATGGCCGATGTTTCGGGTGACCGAGGAAGGGAGGATCTTGCGTGTACATCCAGATGAGTCTCTTTCCCTGTTTGTGCCTCGCGGTCTCGCTACCGGCGTTGTCGACTCCGACAAGCTCCCATCGCTGCGCGAGCTCGTGCTTTCGGAGATCCATCGGAGCGTCGGGCACGCGGGACATCGCATCACCTTGGCCGCCATACGTCCTTTGTATTGGTGGTCGTCCATGTCTGCCGATTGCGCCAAGTTCTGCCATTCATGCGAAGATTGTGCCCGAGGCAAAGCGTCCACTCAAGTCCCTTATGGCCGACTGCATCCGATGCCGATCCCTTCTGGCCCATGGGAACAAGTGGCCATCGACTTCATGACGGGACTGCCTCCGGTCGAGTTCGAAGGGATGATGGTCGCTCAAATCATGGTGGTCACTGACACTTGGGGCAAGATGGTCCACCTGATTCCCCTCCCAGCCGACGCCGACTCCGAGCTCGTTGCCGACAGGTACTACGCCACCATCTTTCGACTGCATGGGACGCCTTCCGCCATCGTTTCCGATCGCGATCCCAAGTTCACCTCGCAGTTTTGGCGAGCATTGCAGGCGAAGGTCGGCACCGTCTTGCGGATGTCAACAGCGGCGCACCCAGAGACCGACGGATCGAGTGAGAACCGAATCAAGATGGTCACCCAAACCCTGCGCATCATGGTGTCGTCAAACCACGAGGCTTGGGCATCTCGTCTTGTTGAAGCTGAGTTCGCTCTTAACTCTTCCGTTGCTGTTTCCACGTCTCTGTCGGCTTTCGAGGCGACTTACGGTTACCTTCCTCGACGCTGGCCCACCGATTCCTGGTCTGTCTCGGACGTCCCGCGTGCGGAAGCGTTTGCCCGAATCCGACAGTTACGGAATCTCGACGTCACGGATGCGATCATTGGTGCACGCCTCGATCAGACTCACCAGGCCAACAAGCATCGACGCCCGGATGATCCCGCCTTTCGGACCGGCAGTTATGTCTATCTTTCGACCAAGAACCTGGCAGTTCCTGAAGGGATGAAGTCGAAGTTGTTGCCGCGCTACATTGGTCCTTTCCGTATCCGAGCGGCCATTCCAGCGACGTCCAGTTACGACCTCGAGCTTCCCCCAGCAATGTCGCGAGTGCACAGTCGCTTCCATGCTCGACTGCTTCGCCCCTATGTTGAGAACGATGCTGAGAGGTTCCCTGGGCGTGACCCCGCAGTTCTTTTTGTTGAAGATGTAGCCGACGCGGCCGACAACTCCGCCATTCCGGAACGGATTGTTCGCGATCGTCGGAACGCTCGGGGCAATCGTTCGTTCTTGGTTCGATGGATTGGCCGTAAGGACATCGATGACACTTGGATGTCAGAGCAGTCCCTCCGCTTCGACCATCCATCCCTACTCGACGCCTACCTGGCACAACTCGATCGCTCAAATCGCCGCCTGTCCTCCCGGTAGACTTCCTTCTGGGGGGGACAATGTCAGGCAAACAGCGATACACTGACAGCAACACTCGAAGGAAGTCCCTGAGGTAATGTGCAGGTAGAGTTGAGGTCACCAAATGCTTCCCTCCATTCAAGCATTGTGGGCGTGATGGCGTAGTCGTTCGGCGCGCGGGCGCGCACTTAATGGTCGCGGGTTCAAGGCGCGCAGAGCGCAATCTTCTCTCGGTTTTTGTTCTTTTTGTTAGCTGAGGCGCGGCCTCAGGGTTTTTACCGGTGCTCCCGCGAGCAATCCTTTTTCCCCCTGAGGCGACCTCTTGGAGTAGCTGAATTGGCTAAGTCCCCTCTGCGCCTGAGTGCCTCCCTTTTGTTTTTAGCACCTTCCCACTCAGCCTGGTCCGCTACATCTCCCAAGATCCCTTCACCTTCATCCTTCGTTTTCGATCTCGTTGGCAATAAAGTCCGATATACTTGACTTGCTGCGAGCCTCACAACCGCGTCCCCTCCTCGGTTGTCCCTCGGTCGCCTGCCCCCGCCCAGTCGACCTTCCTTCGGCCTGATCCCCTCCTCCGCGTGTAGTCAACGTCTTCTGAAGAGGACGTTGCCTGCCACCACCCTTCCCCTAGAGCTTGGTCCACTCATTATCATGACTCGTACCCTCCCTCTTTTTACCCATTTCGCTGGCAATTAAGTCCGTTACACTTGATTTGCTGCGAAGCCTTCCGACCGAATCCACTCCTCGGTTGCTCTCGGTCGACTGCCGCCGCCCAGCCGACTCGACCTTCCCATCGGCCTGGTCAGCTATTTCTTGGATCGTTTGCCCTTCCTCTTTTGTCCGACCTCGTTGGCCACCATAGTCCGGTACACTGGACTTGCTGCGAGCCTTGCAGCCGCGTATCCTCCGCGGTTGCCTCTCGGTCGACTTCCGCCGCCCAGCCGACTCGACCTTCCCACCGGCCTGGTCAGCTATTTCTTGGATCGTTTGCCCTCCCTCTTCTGTCCGACCTCGTTGGCTACCATAGTTCGGTACACTGGACTTGCTGCGAGCCTTGCAGCCGCGTATCCTCCGCGGTTGCCTCTCGGTCGACTGCCGCCGCCTCGGTCGACACCCCCTTCGCTCCTTCGCGCTTTCGCGCGCTCTCTCGCTCTCTCCCTCGTCTCTCGCGTGTAGTCATCGTCATCCCCTCCGACGTTGCCTGTCAGCATTCGTCGCCAAGACTGGACACCCGATCACGCTCCGTGGTGTTCTTCACACGCCTGGCCTACACGTCAACCTCCTCTCTGTCTCTCGCCTCTGCGACACCGACCGCGTTCGTCTCGCCTTCACCAGCGACGGCATCGACATCGCCAAGGACGGCCGGGCCATTGCTCACGGTACCAGGGTCAACGACGGTCTTTACCTTTTGGACGCGGATCACACCAAGTGTCAGCATCTTGCCTTCCTCTCACGCTCTGAGTCTCCCGTGCCCCTGCTTACCCTACACCGCTGCCTCGGCCATCTTGCCCCATCCTCTATACAGAAGATGATTGCTGCAGGTTTGCTGGACGGGTTTGGGGCCGGGTACAGTGACAAAGACGTAGAGGAGTTTGTTTGCAATGCTTGCCTTGGTTCCAAAGGTCACCGCCTTCCCTTTCCCGACTCTGAGTCGCATTCCGCCGAGAGACTTGGCCTCGTGCACAGCGACGTCCTGTCGTTCCCCACTCCGTCCTTGACCGGGAAGCGCTACCTTGTCACGTTTCTAGACGACCACTCTCGCAAACTCTGGGCATATGCGATCGATCACAAAAGCGATGTTTTCCCGACCTTCCAGACTTGGCTCGCCGAAGTGGAGTTAGAGACGAACGCGCGGTTGAGGATCCTTCGAACCGACAATGGCGGGGAGTACCGATCAAACGCATTCACGGAGTTCTGCAAATCCAAGGGCATTCGTCGTCAATACTCTATCCCTTACACGCCTCAACAAAACGGTCGCGCCGAACGTGTCAACCTCTCCATCGTCGAGGGCGTCCTCGCTCTCCTTGCGGACGCCCGTCTGCCGGCCACCTTTTGGGATGAAGCGGCTGCGTATTTCGTTTATTGCAAAAACAGGTGCTCACACTCAGCTTTGGCCAAACAGACTCCAGAATCCGTTTGGAACGGCCAACGCACCACCGCCACCGCCCTCCACCCGTTCGGCTGCACAGCCTGGCTCACGGTCGCCCCGGACCTTCGCAGCAAGCTCGACCCCAAGGCCGCGCGCGTGATCTTCACAGGTTACGACCTCGCCTCCAAAGCTTTCCGTTTCTTTGACCATTCCATCAACAAGATTGTACTTGGTCGCAATGCCACCTTCCTCGACGACGACTTCCCCGGCCTGCCAGTCACCACGCCCGTCGATGCAGACGACACCGACCGTCAGTTCGTCGTTCCCGCCGACACGCCCGCCCCTGCCGTCAAGACGAGGACCCCACTAGTAAGGTCGGCGCACATGGACGTCTCATCCTCCCTTGATGATTCTGCCATGAGCGCCGTTGACGTGGCCCCAGGGTACACTGGCGGAACCTTACTTAATTCCACAGATACCGAATCGTCCTCGTCACCGTCTCCTGAGCCGTCCTCGTCACCGTCGCCCACAAACCCTTTGTCACCGTCGCCTGCGCTGTCACCGTCGTTGGCAGCGTCATCGTCACCCTCGGTCTCACCGACCGACTCTGACTACTCCGCCGACCCTCTGGACCTCATCGGCTCACAGACCCCGACTCGCCTTGGCCCACCGGACGTGCACCGCCCAGACTTCAGCACGTACCGTGAGCCCGCATCGGCTGAGGAGTCGCCCGACGAACTCGACATCATTGGGCGTCACTCGCGCGATGAATCGCCGGATGAAATCGATTTCCTCACCCAACACCACCGCGCCTTCATCGCCACAGACGACGACGACCCCACCCTCTATGAAAGAACAATATACCACTGCACCAAAAGGCGAGGCACCTCTACTTCAGTGAGCGCATATTGTCCTAGAAGTGAGATGGAGCGAAGTTCAACACCCCCCTGTGCGCGAAGCTGAAGAGCTTGTGGCAGTGGGTGCGGCTGTGAGGCAACTGGGCATGTTGATCAGGTCGCTTGGGCAAGTGCAGCTTGGGCACTGTGAGCACTGTCGATGCGCCAGGGTGCTTGGCACGCCGCTGGGCAAGTGCGGGGGCCGGGACGCTGAGTGTATGCGCGCAAAATTGCCTGACCCCAGGGGGGATTGAACTCATGACCTGCTGGTTGCTCTGGGCTCATAACCTATGAAGGAACAATATACCACTGCACCAAAAGGCGAGGCACCTCTACTTCAGTGAGCGCATATTGTCCTAGAAGTGAGATGGAGCGAAGTTCAACACCCTCGACGCCATCGAGCCCGTCAAATCGATCACTAGCGACCCCCAGACCTGGCGCGAAGCAATGTCCAGCGACGAGCACAACATCTGGGCTGAGGCCGCCGCCGCCGAGTTCACCGCCATGCGCGACGACTTCAAGGTGTTCACCATCGAGCCTCGCTCATCTGTACCGCCGGGCGCCACCATCGTCACCTCCAAATTCGTCTGGAAGACCAAGCGCAACGCAAGCGGTGAAGTCACGGGGCGGAAGGCACGTCTTGTAGCGCAGGGTAACCGACAGCGCGACGGCATCGACTTCTCAGAAACCTTCGCACCCGTCGCCCGTTTCTCCTCCATTCGCTGCCTCCTGGCTCTTGCCGCTGCCAATGGCTACCACGTTCATCAGGCCGACATCGACAAGGCTTACCTCCACGGCGAGCTCGATCATGATATCTGGATGACGACACCACGCGGTTTCGACTTCCCGAGCGATAAGGTTCTCCGGCTGCGACGCTCAATCTACGGTCTCAAGCAGGCCGGTCGCATCTGGAATCGTCACATTGACACATCACTCAGGAATCTGGGGTACAAGGCAACAGGCACTGATCACTGCATTTACTCTCGCATTGACGATCAGCAGCGGCCTCACTATATCGCCTTGTATGTCGACGACCTCCTCATTGTCAGTCCAGCCCTCGACGAGATCGAATGTGTCATCTCCGGCCTTGAACAGCGGTACGGCGTCAAACGACTCGGCCCCGCGGAGTACATCCTCGGAATCCAAATACGCCGCCTGGACGACGGTTCCATTGCTCTATCCCAGGAGCGCTACATCATGGACGTGCTGGCCCGTTTCCACTTCGACACCACGACACGCGGCACTACGGTGCCGATGACGCCCGGCCTCTCGCTCACGGCAATTCCGGGTCAGGGAACGGAGCGCATTCGTTCGTGGTACCTACAGGCCATCGGCTCCCTCCTCTACATCTCCCTTGGCACTCGACCCGACATTGCCTTCGCCGTCTCGTACCTGTCCCGGTTCGCCAACAACCCCGGCCGCCGCCATTGGATTGCCGTCAAACACGTCCTTCGCTACCTTCGCGCCACGTACCGCGATGAGCTTCTCTATGTGAAGAGTCCACTCTCAGCTCGACAGGGGCGCCTCGGTCGTTGCGCGCGCCTGCTAGCCTGGCCCCTGTGGTGGGGACTTAGGCGCGCGCGAGTGCCTCAGCGCGCCGGCGCCGGCGGTTTTCGGGCGCGCGCCGCTAGCCCGCCCTTGCAGTGGGGACTTAGCCGCGCGCGACTGCCTCAGCGCTCCAGCGATTTCGCCCGCGCCTGGGCATATCCCAGCGCGGGCCACCTTTCCATTTCTTAGCTTCCTTCTCATCACTTCTGTTCGACTCTCGACTTCTCCTGACAGTAGTGGTGATCATCTCATAGGTACGCTGAAATAGATCACTTCTGTTCGACTCTCGACTTCTCCTGACAGTAGTGGTGATCATCTCATAGGTTATAAGCCCATCGAGCTACCGCTGGCATGGACACGTCGTCAACCCTCGCGACGAGCGCCACCCCGACAATTCCCGCCGAACAGCTTGCCGCACTTACATCGCTGCTGTCGGGACTCACCGCTGCCGCTTCCGGCACTACCGCACCCGCCACGACATCCGGCTCCAATCGCAATGCCTTCCCGAAGCATGCGCGGTTGGACGGGCCGAAGACGTTCGCGAACTGGACACGCCAGCTTCGCCTGTGCCTAGCGGACGACATCCGCTCCTACGTCCTCGACGGAATCACCCCCGACGATTGGACGCCTTCGCAACGCTCCGCCCGCGACGTCGTGGCACGCGAGATCCTTGCAAACTCAATCGACTCGGCCGAAGTCTCGGCAGTCCTCGACAAGATCCCTACGGCCGACCTCACAGCGCCCAAGATTTACTCGACGCTGAAATCACGATACGCCCCTGATGACGCCACTCGCACGCTCGAGCTCTTCTCGCGACTCTGGGGCTTCCGACCCATGCCCGGAACGGTTGGCGAATTTGACAGTTGGATCATGGACTTCAAGTCGGTCGCGCAAGAGATCATCGATACGAAAACGACGATCAACGACGTCCTTGCCACACTCCTCCTCGCGATCGCCCACCCGTCACTCGAGAGCTTCAAGGCAACGTTCACCGACGAACAACGCACGCAACGAACTCTCCCTGACATCGATTCAGTGGCCGACCGTATGCGAGTTCAACTCCGGTCAACGAACCTCTCCAACGATCAATCGGCCCTCCTTGCCTCGTCGTCGCCACGTTCTACCCGTACCAAGTGCCTCGCCTGTCGCAGCCCTTCTCACCGCGTCGCACAATGCCCTACAAGGGCCCAGCATCCACCGCCAGGCCCGTGTCGCTCCTGCAAGAAGAAGGACCACTGGTCTTTCGTATTCGATCAACTCTACTACGTCAGCGATGTAGTTATAGCCAAGAGTGATAAATGCATTTCAACATACCTATTCGATCAACTCTACTACGTCAGCGATGTAGTTATAGCCAAGAGTGATGAATAGGAAGCTAACAATAAGAGACCCGCGCGCCCCAAGTCCACAGCCAGCGAGCCTGGGGCTGAGCCAATGGCCCAGGCTCGCTCCGCGCGCCTAAGTCCCAGGCTCGCTTCGCGCGCCTAAGTCCTGGGCCGGGGCGCCCGGCTCACTCCGCGCGCCTAAGTCCGCGCCCGGTTCGCTCCGCGCGCCTAAGTCCTGAGCCGAGCGGAGAGTGGATTCCTCACACCCCCCCCCACGCGAACGCGAGGTAGACTTGAGCCGTGGATGTCGCGTCCGGAGGCCTAGAGCATAGCAATGTGTACCAAAAATCTTGGGGCCTAGCGCCTTGGTGAATACGTCCGCAACCATGTCTGCTGTGCCAACGTGTGAGAGAGAGATATCACCTCGATTGACCATGTCACGGACAAAATGCTCGCGGAGGCGAATGTGCCGGGTGCCGGAGGTGCGAACGGGGTCGTGAGCGACGGCGGCCGCGGCCTCGTTGTCGGTGAAGATGTGAGCTGCAGCGATTGGGCAAACGTGGAGCTCGGAGAGGAGTTGGTTAAGGTAGATCGCTTCCTTACCCGCGTGCGACAAGGCCAGGTACTCGGCATCAGTGGTGGAATCCGCTACCCGAGTCTGACGCTTCGACGACCAAGAGACAGCGGCGCCTGCCAAGTAAAATACGTAGCCCATCGTTGAAATGGATGTGTCGACGCAGGCGCCCCAGTTCGCATCAGAATAACCAACCACACCCGTGACTTTTGCTGGGCCGCGGGCATAGAGAAGCTCATCGCGGTACGTGGCGCGAAGGTAGCGAAGGACGTGTTTGACGGCAATCCAATGGCGGCGGCCGGGGTTGTTGGCGAACCGGGACAGGTACGAGACGGCGAAGGCAATGTCGGGTCGAGTGCCAAGGGAGATGTAGAGGAGGGAGCCGATGGCCTGTAGGTACCACGAACGAATGCGCTCCGTTCCCTGACCCGGAATTGCCGTGAGCGAGAGGCCGGGCGTCATCGGCACCGTAGTGCCGCGTGTCGTGGTGTCGAAGTGGAAACGGGCCAGCACGTCCATGATGTAGCGCTCCTGGGATAGAGCAATGGAACCGTCGTCCAGGCGGCGTATTTGGATTCCGAGGATGTACTCCGCGGGGCCGAGTCGTTTGACGCCGTACCGCTGTTCAAGGCCGGAGATGACACGTTCGATCTCGTCGAGGGCTGGACTGACAATGAGGAGGTCGTCGACATACAAGGCGATATAGTGAGGCCGCTGCTGATCGTCAATGCGAGAGTAAATGCAGTGATCAGTGCCTGTTGCCTTGTACCCCAGATTCCTGAGTGATGTGTCAATGTGACGATTCCAGATGCGACCGGCCTGCTTGAGACCGTAGATTGAGCGTCGCAGCCGGAGAACCTTATCGCTCGGGAAGTCGAAACCGCGTGGTGTCGTCATCCAGATATCATGATCGAGCTCGCCGTGGAGGTAAGCCTTGTCGATGTCGGCCTGATGAACGTGGTAGCCATTGGCAGCGGCAAGAGCCAGGAGGCAGCGAATGGAGGAGAAACGGGCGACGGGTGCGAAGGTTTCTGAGAAGTCGATGCCGTCGCGCTGTCGGTTACCCTGCGCTACAAGACGTGCCTTCCGCCCCGTGACTTCACCGCTTGCGTTGCGCTTGGTCTTCCAGACGAATTTGGAGGTGACGATGGTGGCGCCCGGCGGTACAGATGAGCGAGGCTCGATGGTGAACACCTTGAAGTCGTCGCGCATGGCGGTGAACTCGGCGGCGGCGGCCTCAGCCCAGATGTTGTGCTCGTCGCTGGACATTGCTTCGCGCCAGGTCTGGGGGTCGCTAGTGATCGATTTGACGGGCTCGATGGCGTCGAGGGTGGGGTCGTCGTCGTCTGTGGCGATGAAGGCGCGGTGGTGTTGGGTGAGGAAATCGATTTCATCCGGCGATTCATCGCGTGAGTGACGCCCAATGATGTCGAGTTCGTCGGGCGACTCCTCAGCCGATGCGGGCTCACGGTACGTGCTGAAGTCTGGGCGGTGCACGTCCGGTGGGCCAAGGCGAGTCGGGGTCTGTGAGCCGATGAGGTCCAGAGGGTGGCCGATACGTCGGCGGAGTCGATAGAGCCAACGATGATTTCCCGGGCGGCGTCGTCACGTGCGGCAAGCTGGTCGGCGGTCCAGGTCGGGGGAACGACACCGTCGAGAACGTAACCACGAACCTGGTTCGGGAGTGCAAGACGGAGTTGACGCAACCAGTTGGTGAACGACTTGGGGCCGTCCAGACGAGCGTGCTTGGGAAACACGACCTTGGATGCGGTGGCGGCGTTCCCCGGCACGATGGTGACGGCCGGGGGTGCGGCGGCTGCGGCGGCGGCGGGTTGCGAGGCCTGCAGAGCGGCAAGCTGGGCCTGTAGAGTGGCGATTTGTTCGCCGATCGAAGATTCAGGGGAGCTGGGATCCCTGGGGGCCAAAGGCGAGGCGGGAGAGCTGTCCATGATGTGATGGTGCGATGGACGTGTGCGGCTCGAGTGGCTGGGCTCGAGCGAAAAAGCCTCAAGCGGCGGGGCTGGTAGCTCGTGGGCTTATAACCTATTCGATCAACTCTACTACGTCAGCGATGTAGTTATAGCCAAGAGTGATAAATGCATTTCAACATACCTATTCGATCAACTCTACTACGTCAGCGATGTAGTTATAGCCAAGAGTGATGAATAGGAAGCTAACAATAAGAGACCCGCGCGCCCCAAGTCCACAGCCAGCGAGCCTGGGGCTGAGCCAATGGCCCAGGCTCGCTCCGCGCGCCTAAGTCCCAGGCTCGCTTCGCGCGCCTAAGTCCTGGGCCGGGGCGCCCGGCTCACTCCGCGCGCCTAAGTCCGCGCCCGGTTCGCTCCGCGCGCCTAAGTCCTGAGCCGAGCGGAGAGTGGATTCCTCACATTTCGACTGCAAAAAGGCTCTTGAGGACGGGAAAACGCCCGACACCTCTGATGCGCAACACCATGTCGGATGTCTCGCCACCGGTCTTCTCGCACATCGTCGTCAGCTTCGCAACAACTCCTTCGTCGTCGACTCGGGTGCCACTTCGCACATGGTCTCGGACAAGTCGCTGTTCACGGCCTATCGCCACATCGCTCCTACGAAGATTGGTGGTATTGCAGGGGGCATCAACGCCGTCGGAACGGGAAACATCGCCTTTGTTGCCGCCTCCGGTCACCCGATCACGCTTACCGGCGTGCTGCACACCCCGGGCCTGTCTGTCAACCTCCTCTCGGTCTCTCGACTTTGCGACACCGACGATGTCCGTGTCGCCTTCACGAAGCACGGCATCCATATCGACAAGAACGGCAATGCTATCGCTGAAGGCGCAAGACTCGAGGAAGGGCTCTACTTGCTGGACGCTGATCATTCCAAATGTCAGCATCTCGCTCTCCTCTCTCGCTCACAGTCTTCCGTGCCCCTGCTGACCCTTCACCGCTGCCTCGGCCATCTCGCACCGTCGTCCATACAGAAGATGGTTGCCGCTGGTTTGCTGTATGAGATGATCTGACAGGCAACGTCGGAGGGGATGACGATGACTACACGCGAGAGACGAGGGAGAGAGCGAGAGAGCGCGCGAAAGCGCGAAGGAGCGAAGGGGGTGTCGACCGAGGCGGCGGCAGTCGACCGAGAGGCAACCGCGGAGGATACGCGGCTGCAAGGCTCGCAGCAAGTCCAGTGTACCGAACTATGGTAGCCAACGAGGTCGGACAGAAGAGGGAGGGCAAACGATCCAAGAAATAGCTGACCAGGCCGGTGGGAAGGTCGAGTCGGCTGGGCGGCGGGAGTCGACCGAGAGGCAACCGCGGAGGATACGCGGCTGCAAGGCTCGCAGCAAGTCCAGTGTACCGGACTATGGTGGCCAACGAGGTCGGACAAAAGAGGAAGGGCAAACGATCCAAGAAATAGCTGACCAGGCCGATGGGAAGGTCGAGTCGGCTGGGCGGCGGCAGTCGACCGAGAGCAACCGAGGAGTGGATTCGGTCGGAAGGCTTCGCAGCAAATCAAGTGTAACGGACTTAATTGCCAGCGAAATGGGTAAAAAGAGGGAGGGTACGAGTCATGATAATGAGTGGACCAAGCTCTAGGGGAAGGGTGGCAAAAGCAAAGGGAGGGAAGTGCTCCCAGCGAAGGAAAGACTGAATCAAATAACTACACCACGAGGTCGCTTCAGGGGTAAAAAGGATTGCCTGCAAGGCACCGGTAAAAACCCCGAAGCCGGGCCTCGGATAACAAAAAGGAAAAGAAACCAAAAGGCAGATCACGCTCCGGGCGGATCGAACCCTCGACCACTGAGTGCGCGCCCGCGCGCCCTCACGACTACACCATCGCGCCGACAATGCTTGCAACGAACAAACCGGTAGCTGATGTCGACTCCGGCCGCAAACTTGGGAGACTTCCTTCGAGTATTGATGGCAGTGCAGGCTGTGCTCCTGACACTATCCCCCCCAGAAGGAAGTCTACCGTGCGGCGAGGCGGTGACGGTGCGGAATGAGTTGGGCGGCGGGCGGACTTAGGCGGTTTCGCGCGGCCGGGTCGGTCGGAGTTGGCCGTGCTCGGCCGGGGTCGGATTGGCGGAAGGGGACGGCGGGCCGTCTTCGGCAGCGGCGCAGGACGTGTCGCGCTCGGTGGCCATGGCGATCGCTCAACACGACAGTCGATGATTCCAGGACGAACGAGGCGGGCACGAGGCGACCATGCAATAAGGCGGCGGCGGTGCGAAACGAGTGTGGTGGCAGGCGGACTTGGGCGGGTTCGCGCGGCCGGGGTCGCGGTTGCGAAGAGGCGCGGCGCGCTGGCTGCGGCAGCGGCGCGCGACGTGTCACACTCGGCGGCCATGGCGATCACTCAACTCACAGTCAACAGCGATTCCAGGGCGAACGAGGGCGGTCACGAGACGGTAAGAAGAGGTGGGGGGGTGGGGGGTGGGGGAGGTGTGGGGGGTGGGGGGGAGGAACCACGCGGTCGTCAAAGAGGCCGAACTCGAGAGGCCGAACGGAGAGGAGGCGGACGACGCGAAGACGAAGGGCGGGAGGGCGGGAATGCTCGTCCAGGGTGTGGGACTGAGCGGTGAGAGAAGCTGGGACTGTCGCTAGCAATGCCGAACTTGAAAAAAGTGACAGGCAACGTCGGAGGGGATGACGATGACTACACGCGAGAGACGAGGGAGAGAGCGAGAGAGCGCGCGAAAGCGCGAAGGAGCGAAGGGGGTGTCGACCGAGGCGGCGGCAGTCGACCGAGAGGCAACCGCGGAGGATACGCGGCTGCAAGGCTCGCAGCAAGTCCAGTGTACCGAACTATGGTAGCCAACGAGGTCGGACAGAAGAGGGAGGGCAAACGATCCAAGAAATAGCTGACCAGGCCGGTGGGAAGGTCGAGTCGGCTGGGCGGCGGGAGTCGACCGAGAGGCAACCGCGGAGGATACGCGGCTGCAAGGCTCGCAGCAAGTCCAGTGTACCGGACTATGGTGGCCAACGAGGTCGGACAAAAGAGGAAGGGCAAACGATCCAAGAAATAGCTGACCAGGCCGATGGGAAGGTCGAGTCGGCTGGGCGGCGGCAGTCGACCGAGAGCAACCGAGGAGTGGATTCGGTCGGAAGGCTTCGCAGCAAATCAAGTGTAACGGACTTAATTGCCAGCGAAATGGGTAAAAAGAGGGAGGGTACGAGTCATGATAATGAGTGGACCAAGCTCTAGGGGAAGGGTGGCAAAAGCAAAGGGAGGGAAGTGCTCCCAGCGAAGGAAAGACTGAATCAAATAACTACACCACGAGGTCGCTTCAGGGGTAAAAAGGATTGCCTGCAAGGCACCGGTAAAAACCCCGAAGCCGGGCCTCGGATAACAAAAAGGAAAAGAAACCAAAAGGCAGATCACGCTCCGGGCGGATCGAACCCTCGACCACTGAGTGCGCGCCCGCGCGCCCTCACGACTACACCATCGCGCCGACAATGCTTGCAACGAACAAACCGGTAGCTGATGTCGACTCCGGCCGCAAACTTGGGAGACTTCCTTCGAGTATTGATGGCAGTGCAGGCTGTGCTCCTGACATGATCACCACTACTGTCAGGAGAAGTCGAGAGTCGAACAGAAGTGATCTATTTCAGCGTACCTATGAGATGATCACCACTACTGTCAGGAGAAGTCGAGAGTCGAACAGAAGTGATGAGAAGGAAGCTAAGAAATGGAAAGGGGGCCCGCGCTGGGATATGCCCAGGCGCGGGCGAAATCGCTGGAGCGCTGAGGCAGTCGCGCGCGGCTAAGTCCCCACTGCAAGGGCGGGCTAGCGGCGCGCGCCCGAAAACCGCCGGCGCCGGCGCGCTGAGGCACTCGCGCGCGCCTAAGTCCCCACCACAGGGGCCAGGCTAGCAGGCGCGCGCAACGACCGAGGTGTGAAGAGTCCACTCTCAGCTCGACAGGGGCGCCTCGGTCGTTGCGCGCACTTGCTAGCCCGCCCCCGGCGGTGGGGACTTAGACGCGCGCGACTGCCTCAGCGCGCCAGCGCCGGCGGATTCATGCGCGCGCCCGCTAGCCCGCCCCCTTGCGGTGGGGACTTAGGCGCGCCGGCGATTTCACCCGCGGCTGACTTAGGGATGTACATTGTCACGCGCCTGGGACTATCCCAGCGTGGCCCCCCCCTTTCTGTTTCTTAGCTTCCTTCTCATCACTTCTGTTCGACTCTCAACCTCTCCTGACAGTAGTGGTGAACGTCTCATAGGTACGCTGAAATAGATCACTTCTGTTCGACTCTCAACCTCTCCTGACAGTAGTGGTGAACGTCTCATAGGTTATAAGCCCACGAGCCACCAGCTGGCATGACCACGACACCACCCCTCGCGACGGGTGCCAACCCTCCGATTCCCGCCGAACAGCTCGCCGCACTTACATCGCTGCTGTCGGGTCTCACCGCTGCCGCTTCCGGCACTGCCACACCCGCCACGACGTCCGGCACCACTCGCACTGCCTTTCCAAAGCACGCACGCTTGGATGGTGCGAAGACCTTCGCGAACTGGACACGCCAACTTCGCCTGTGCCTAGCGGACGACATCCGCTCGTACGTCCTCGACGGTATCGCACCCGACGACTGGACACCTTCGCAACGCTCCGCTCGCGACGCCGTCGCTCGTGAGGTCCTTGCGAATTCGATTGACTCGGCCGAAGTCTCGGCAGTCCTCGACAAAATCCCTACCGCCGACCTGACAGCGCCGACAATCTACTCGACGCTGAAATCGCGGTACGCCCCTGACGACGCCACCCGCACGCTCGAGCTCTTCTCACGACTCTGGGGTTTCCGTCCCATGCCCGGCACGGTTGCCGAATTCGACGGGTGGATCATGGACTTCAAAGCCGTTGCGCAAGAGATCATCGACACAAAGACAACTATCAATGATGTTCTCGCCACACTCCTCCTTGCAATCGCCCACCCGTCCCTCGAGAGCTTCAAGGCGTCGTTCACCGATGAACAGCGCACGCAACGAACTCTCCCCGACATTGATTCGCTTGCCGACCGTATGCGAGTCCAACTTCGGTCAACGAACATCCCCAGCACTCAATCGGCCCTTCTTGCCTCGTCGTCGTCACGTTCTACTCGTCTCAAGTGTCTCGCCTGTCGCAGCCCTTCGCACCGAGTCGCGGAGTGCCCTACGAGGGCGCAACACCCGCCGCCAGGACCCTGTCGCTCCTGCAAGAAGAAGGATCACTGGTCTCTCGACTGCAAGAAGGCGCTCGAGGACGGCAAAAAGCCCGACACCGCTGACTCGACCGTCGACTCGCAACACCATGTCGGATGTCTCGCCACCGGTCTTCTCGCTCGTCGTCGCCAGCTTCGCAACCACTCTTTTGTCGTCGACTCGGGCGCCACTTCGCACATGGTCTCGGACAAGTCGCTGTTCACGACCTATCGCCATATCGCTCCTACGAAGATTGGTGGTATTGCAGGGGGCATCAACGCCATCGGAACGGGAAACATCGCCTTCATTGCCGCCTCGGGTCATCCGATCACGCTTACCGGCGTGCTGCACACTCCGGGCCTGTTTGTCAATCTTCTCTCGGTCTCTCGACTTTGCGACACCGACGATGTCCGTGTCGCCTTCACAAAACACGGCATCCACATTGACAAGGACGGCAACGACATCGCTGAAGGCGCACGACTCGACGAAGGGCTCTACTTGCTGGACGCTGATCATTCCAAATGTCAGCACCTTGCTCTCCTTTCTCGCTCACAGTCGTCCGTGCCCCTGCTGACTCTCCATCGCTGCCTCGGCCATCTCGCACCGTCCTCCATACAGAAGATGGTTGCCGCTGGTTTGCTGGAGGGTCTCAGGGCCGGATATAGTGACGAAGAGGTTGTGAGGAATCCACTCTCCGCTCGGCTCAGGACTTAGGCGCGCGGAGCGAACCGGGCGCGGACTTAGGCGCGCGGAGCGAGCCTGGGCCATTGGCTCAGCCCCAGGCTCGCTGGCTGTGGACTTGGGGTGCGCGGGTCTCTTATTGTTAGCTTCCTATTCATCACTCTTGGCTATAACTACATCGCTGACGTAGTAGAGTTGATCGAATAGGTTATAAGCCCACGAGCTACCAGCCCCGCCGTTTGAGGCTTTTTCGCTCGAGCCCAGCCACTCGAGCCGCACACGTCCATCGCACCATCACATCATGGACAGCTCTCCCGCCTCGCCTTTGGCCCCCAGGGATCCCAGCTCCCCTGAATCTTCGATCGGCGAACAAATCGCCACTCTACAGGCCCAGCTTGCCGCTCTGCAGGCCTCGCAACCCGCCGCCGCCGCAGCCGCCGCACCCCCGGCCGTCACCGTCGTGCCGGGGAACGCCGCCACCGCATCCAAGGTCGTGTTTCCCAAGCACGCTCGTCTGGACGGCCCCAAGTCGTTCACCAACTGGTTGCGTCAACTCCGTCTTGCACTCCCGAACCAGGTTCGTGGTTACGTTCTCGACGGTGTCGTTCCCCCGACCTGGACCGCCGACCAGCTTGCCGCACGTGACGACGCCGCCCGGGAAATCATCGTTGGCTCTATCGACTCCGCCGACGTATCGGCCACCCTCGACGCCATCCCCAGCGACGACCTGTCGGCACCGCGCATCTTTGCCGCTCTCAAGGCTCGTTTTGCACCGGACGACGCTACACGCACTCTCGAGTTGTTCGCTCGCCTTTGGGACTTCAGGAAGATGCCTGCCTCCGTCGAGGCCTACGACACTTGGCTACGCGAGTACATGTCGATTGCTCAGGAAATACGCGACGCCAAAACATCGCTCAACGACGTGCTCGCCACCCACGTGCTCGCCATGGTCCCGTCTTGCCTCGACAGCTTCCGACTCACGTTCACGGACGAGCAGCGAAACCGACGCGACCTTCCCGAACTCACGACGCTTACGGACCGCATTCGCATCCAGCTTCGTTCGGCAGGACTCTCGACCTCGCATTCGGCCATGCTTGCCACCAGCTCCCCCTGCCCCGCCTGCCGCGCTCCCGGTCACCGCCTGCGCGACTGCACTTCACGTGCGAAGCACCCGCCCACCGGCCCCTGCCGCCGATGCCACAAGAAAGGTCACTGGGCACTCGACTGCAAGAACCGGGGTGAACAGGCACGTAGCAGCGACGACACCCAGGACGACACGTCTTCCTCCGCGGCCTCGCAACCGAACGTCGGCTATTTCGCCTCCTGCCTCTTCGCTCGTCGCCAACTCCCAACTGACGCCTTTGTAGTCGATTCGGGTGCCACGACACACATGGTCGCCGACCGATCTCTATTCACGACTTATCGTCAGACGGCACACACCAAGATCGGCGGCATCGCGGGCGGCATCACGGCTATCGGCATGGGGGACGTGGCATTCGTCGCCAAGACTGGACACCCGATCACGCTCCGTGGTGTTCTTCACACGCCTGGCCTACACGTCAACCTCCTCTCTGTCTCTCGCCTCTGCGACACCGACCGCGTTCGTCTCGCCTTCACCAGCGACGGCATCGACATCGCCAAGGACGGCCGGGCCATTGCTCACGGTACCAGGGTCAACGACGGTCTTTACCTTTTGGACGCGGATCACACCAAGTGCCAGCATCTTGCCTTCCTCTCACGCTCTGAGTCTCCCGTGCCCCTGCTTACCCTACACCGCTGCCTCGGCCATCTTGCCCCATCCTCTATACAGAAGATGATTGCTGCAGGTTTGCTGGACGGGTTTGGGGCCGGGTACAGTGACAAAGACGTAGAGGAGTTTGTTTGCAATGCTTGCCTTGGTTCCAAAGGTCACCGCCTTCCCTTTCCCGACTCTGAGTCGCATTCCGCCGAGAGACTTGGCCTCGTGCACAGCGACGTCCTGTCGTTCCCCACTCCGTCCTTGACCGGGAAGCGCTACCTTGTCACGTTTCTAGACGACCACTCTCGCAAACTCTGGGCATATGCGATCGATCACAAAAGCGATGTTTTCCCGACCTTCCAGACTTGGCTCGCCGAAGTGGAGTTAGAGACGAACGCGCGGTTGAGGATCCTTCGAACCGACAATGGCGGGGAGTACCGATCAAACGCATTCACGGAGTTCTGCAAATCCAAGGGCATTCGTCGTCAATACTCTATCCCTTACACGCCTCAACAAAACGGTCGCGCCGAACGTGTCAACCTCTCCATCGTCGAGGGCGTCCTCGCTCTCCTTGCGGACGCCCGTCTGCCGGCCACCTTTTGGGATGAAGCGGCTGCGTATTTCGTTTATTGCAAAAACAGGTGCTCACACTCAGCTTTGGCCAAACAGACTCCAGAATCCGTTTGGAACGGCCAACGCACCACCGCCACCGCCCTCCACCCGTTCGGCTGCACAGCCTGGCTCACGGTCGCCCCGGACCTTCGCAGCAAGCTCGACCCCAAGGCCGCGCGCGTGATCTTCACAGGTTACGACCTCGCCTCCAAAGCTTTCCGTTTCTTTGACCATTCCATCAACAAGATTGTACTTGGTCGCAATGCCACCTTCCTCGACGACGACTTCCCCGGCCTGCCAGTCACCACGCCCGTCGATGCAGACGACACCGACCGTCAGTTCGTCGTTCCCGCCGACACGCCCGCCCCTGCCGTCAAGACGAGGACCCCACTAGTAAGGTCGGCGCACATGGACGTCTCATCCTCCCTTGATGATTCTGCCATGAGCGCCGTTGACGTGGCCCCAGGGTACACTGGCGGAACCTTACTTAATTCCACAGATACCGAATCGTCCTCGTCACCGTCTCCTGAGCCGTCCTCGTCACCGTCGCCCACAAACCCTTTGTCACCGTCGCCTGCGCTGTCACCGTCGTTGGCAGCGTCATCGTCACCCTCGGTCTCACCGACCGACTCTGACTACTCCGCCGACCCTCTGGACCTCATCGGCTCACAGACCCCGACTCGCCTTGGCCCACCGGACGTGCACCGCCCAGACTTCAGCACGTACCGTGAGCCCGCATCGGCTGAGGAGTCGCCCGACGAACTCGACATCATTGGGCGTCACTCGCGCGATGAATCGCCGGATGAAATCGATTTCCTCACCCAACACCACCGCGCCTTCATCGCCACAGACGACGACGACCCCACCCTCGACGCCATCGAGCCCGTCAAATCGATCACTAGCGACCCCCAGACCTGGCGCGAAGCAATGTCCAGCGACGAGCACAACATCTGGGCTGAGGCCGCCGCCGCCGAGTTCACCGCCATGCGCGACGACTTCAAGGTGTTCACCATCGAGCCTCGCTCATCTGTACCGCCGGGCGCCACCATCGTCACCTCCAAATTCGTCTGGAAGACCAAGCGCAACGCAAGCGGTGAAGTCATGGGGCGGAAGGCACGTCTTGTAGCGCAGGGTAACCGACAGCGCGACGGCATCGACTTCTCAGAAACCTTCGCACCCGTCGCCCGTTTCTCCTCCATTCGCTGCCTCCTGGCTCTTGCCGCTGCCAATGGCTACCACGTTCATCAGGCCGACATCGACAAGGCTTACCTCCACGGCGAGCTCGATCATGATATCTGGATGACGACACCACGCGGTTTCGACTTCCCGAGCGATAAGGTTCTCCGGCTGCGACGCTCAATCTACGGTCTCAAGCAGGCCGGTCGCATCTGGAATCGTCACATTGACACATCACTCAGGAATCTGGGGTACAAGGCAACAGGCACTGATCACTGCATTTACTCTTGCATTGACGATCAGCAGCGGCCTCACTATATCGCCTTGTATGTCGACGACCTCCTCATTGTCAGTCCAGCCCTCGACGAGATCGAACGTGTCATCTCCGGCCTTGAACAGCGGTACGGCGTCAAACGACTCGGCCCCGCGGAGTACATCCTCGGAATCCAAATACGCCGCCTGGACGACGGTTCCATTGCTCTATCCCAGGAGCGCTACATCATGGACGTGCTGGCCCGTTTCCACTTCGACACCACGACACGCGGCACTACGGTGCCGATGACGCCCGGCCTCTCGCTCACGGCAATTCCGGGTCAGGGAACGGAGCGCATTCGTTCGTGGTACCTACAGGCCATCGGCTCCCTCCTCTACATCTCCCTTGGCACTCGACCCGACATTGCCTTCGCCGTCTCGTACCTGTCCCGGTTCGCCAACAACCCCGGCCGCCGCCATTGGATTGCCGTCAAACACGTCCTTCGCTACCTTCGCGCCACGTACCGCGATGAGCTTCTCTATGCCCGCGGCCCAGCAAAAGTCACGGGTGTGGTTGGTTATTCTGATGCGAACTGGGGCGCCTGCGTCGACACATCCATTTCAACGATGGGCTACGTATTTTACTTGGCAGGCGCCGCTGTCTCTTGGTCGTCGAAGCGTCAGACTCGGGTAGCGGATTCCACCACTGATGCCGAGTACCTGGCCTTGTCGCACGCGGGTAAGGAAGCGATCTACCTTAACCAACTCCTCTCCGAGCTCCACGTTTGCCCAATCGCTGCAGCTCACATCTTCACCGACAACGAGGCCGCGGCCGCCGTCGCTCACGACCCCGTTCGCACCTCCGGCACCCGGCACATTCGCCTCCGCGAGCATTTTGTCCGTGACATGGTCAATCGAGGTGATATCTCTCTCTCACACGTTGGCACAGCAGACATGGTTGCGGACGTATTCACCAAAGCGCTAGGCCCCAAGATTTTTTGGTACACATTGCTATGCTCTAGGCCTCCGGACGCGACATCCACGGCTCAAGTCTACCTCGCGTTCGCGTGGGGGGGGGTGTGAGGAATCCACTCTCCGCTCGGCTCAGGACTTAGGCGCGCGGAGCGAACCGGGCGCGGACTTAGGCGCGCGGAGTGAGCCGGGCGCCCCGGCCCAGGACCTAGGCGCGCGAAGCGAGCCTGGGACTTAGGCGCGCGGAGCGAGCCTGGGCCATTGGCTCAGCCCCAGGCTCGCT